TATATATGTATATCTATATATATATATATATGTGTGGGTGTGTGTGTAATTATATTTATAAAAAGAAATAAATGAAAATAGAATGGGAAAAGTTCGTTAGTAGAGAATACGGACTTTTATAAAAAAATTTAAAAATTGAAATTACGTGTACAAAATACTATTAATGTACTATTATGTGTATCCGTTGGAGTCGTAGGGCCTCCAAGTTGTATCTATTGGGCCTCCAAGAGGAAGATGTTTAATTGGTTAAGTTTATGGGCTTTATTTTAACTTCTCCCAAGACAAATATAGATTTTAACGGAAAAATGAAAGTTATAGATATAATTTAATTCATTTTATATTTATATATATATATATATATATATATATATATATATATATATATATATAAAATATTATCATTTTGGTATAGATATAAATAAGTTTTATTAATTAATTCTTATTCGTGTAAAGACGACCTATTTAATTTTTTTTCCTTGTAGACCTAAAAGTAATATTACTAATTCTGCTAGTATAAATAAGATTAAACTAAATATAGGATTAACAATAACAAAATTAAACTGACAAAATTTTACAAATTAGTAATTTGCTTGTTAAGTATTTTTTGCATATAAAAATTAAATCAATAATTTTGTATATCATAAAATAATTATATCTTATCAGACAGAACAAATTAAATGGCCAAATTTGCGCTCCTAAAATTTCCAATTATTATATACTAAATTGACTTATTTCCTTTTATTTTCAATTTTTTAGTTTTGTAATAGCGATATTTGATGATTTGATATTGTGAAATATTACCTATCCCTTTGGATTGATAGAAAAAAAATCTATATTAATTTCCACTTCACTAAAATACAAAATATTAATTTTCAGTGTTAACACAATATTCCAATAATTTATTTTTAATATTTGTGAAATGTTCTTCCACTATAATTACTTTCGCATTTATATTTTGATAAAATTTTCAGAACATTTATTTCATCTTATTTAATGTAGATGATGACAGGCACGAATCTTCTACAAATATTTAAAAATTTTCAAAATTTTACATAGATATATAACATTTTTTTTCAAATTTCAAGTAGATAAAATATATTAAAATTAAAAAAGTGTTTCAAATAATTCATTTATTTTTATACATAAAAAGAAAAAATTGGGGCAAAGTCCCCTTCAGCTCCTACTAAGATTGAAAAGCTACTATTTTTATTGTTTATATCAATAAATTGGGTATTCGTTTAAAAAAAAGGGATAAATATATATAATACTCCTTTTAACAAGCAGATGAATTAGCCTTAAAAATTATTAATAGCAGAAATCTTGCCCATCTTTCCTTATTATAATAAATTATGTCAGTTAATGAATGACAAGAGTTATATTATCAATTAATAATAAGAGTTATGTTATATATCATAAACAGTTATTTTACGTGATATAACAATTGTTATTTTCCTTATATACCATAATTAATTGTTATAATATATAGGGTTAAATATGTTTTTAGTCCCTAAACTATCAAGCGATTTTGTTTTTAGTCCCTGCTCAGAACTTTGATGGTTTTTAGTCCTTATAGTTTTGAAACTCTGAGTATTAGTCCTTAAAAATGGACGGTGTTAAGTTTTTGTCGATCTGGCAAACGGCGATGCCCAGCTGTGCTCTACACTCTCTGCCACGTTGCTGACCAATAAGAATCTCACGCTGGCCATTCTCGTTCTTCCTCAAACGCCCTTCTTCATCGTCTTTCTGTGTTTTCTCAATGCCTGTTCTTCTGTCTTCGCCACCCATTTGAACAACAACACCGTCAGCCTCACCAGTGACCTCGCCGTCCCAAACTCCGATGCTGGCAGAGCGCTTTATGCTGTTTTTGCCCAATTTAATCAAATACATTTTACCTTACAAGTAAAGAGAACGAACTTATTCAATCATTAAAATAAATTATATGAAAACTCAGTTCCTTTTTCATCATAATAGTGACAATCCTTAAACGCCACACCCATCTCAACTTTCCGGTGTGATACAAGCAGAAATGCAAGCGGGGAACTAGCAAATTAAATTCTAGGTTAAACACTTCTTCAGCCGTCTCTTCCGTTCGAGATGGTTTAATCGAATCAACAACAATACAAGATCCCAAAGACAAGAGGAAACCACAAAAGGCGATCTAAGTAAAGGGAAAGAGAGATGAGAAGAGAAGAGAAGCGAAGCCGTGCAACGGAAATCAACAGGATTGGCAAACGAGATGAAAGAATATAAGTAAGAATTACAGATTGGATAAAAGGAAGTTCGTGGATGCGATAAACGAAAGGGGAATTAAAAAGAGGGGAGGATTAGGGAAAATACCTCTTTGGAATGGTGGAGGCACTCGAGGTAATCTTCACGGAGAAGACCACAATCCGTGGGTTCTCGGCAGCGAGACATGCATTCGCTGAAATCCATCCAGAAATCGTAGCACCGACCTTTGTTGCCTGTAATTCCCCAGCCTGACGCCATTGTCTCTCTTTCTCTCTTGCTCTCTGATCTCACTGCTTCTTACAACTTCAAACCCTCTGCCAGCAACGGAGTTTCGGACGGCGAGGTCACCGGTGAGGCTGACGGTGTTGTTGTTCAAATGGGTGGCGAAGACAGAAGAACAGGCATTGAGAAAACACAGAAAGACGATGAAGAAGGGCGTTCGAGGAAGAACGAGAATGGCCACGTGAGCGTGAGATTCTTATTGGTCAGCAACGTGGTAGAGAGTGTAGAGCACAGCTGGGCATCGCCGTTTGCCAGATTGACAAAAACTTAACACCGTCCATTTTTAAGGACTAATACTCAGAGTTTCAAAACTATAAGGACTAAAAACCATCAAAGTTCTGAGCAGGGACTAAAAACAAAATCGCTTGATAGTTCAGGGACTAAAAACATATTTAACCCTAATATATAATGTAATTAATAATTATTTATTGATATTTTATTAATTATTACTATCTAACTTTTATATTATGATTAAATAAATAAAATGAAACAATATAAACTTTAGTATTTTATATAATGATTACAATTTGTTGTTATGAGTATAATTTTGTATTAAAAGGTATATAATAATTTTAATTTAATATTTAATTGTATCTTTTGTATAAAAATATTTTAATTTATAATTTTTTATTATATCAATCAAATTAACTTTTTTTACTTTTCATTCTCATCCTCTTAACTTAAGCTATTACATTTTTTTTCTTCATCCTCTCATTATCATCTCAACCAAACATTAAAAAAAAATGACATTATAGTTTCAAAATTAATTTTGCGACACTTTCTTTACAATTTCTCAAAGTAAAAGTGTGAAGAGTTGATACACACCACGCACTCGTAATGCGCGTGAACCAAATAGGAACGAAGAAAAAAACCGTTAAATGGGAACATGATCTGTGCTGGGTTTTCACATTTTGAACGTCGTGATTGTGACCAATGCATGAATTTTGAGGACTTAAAAAAACCGAAACATCATGGCACCAATTCCTGCTTGATTTTCGTTTTAGGTTGCTTTTCTATGTGACCATTCCTTCCGCAAATTCTGTTACAACAGAAAAGAGAGTTTTGGGCTTTAACTCATGCCCTTGCAACCGTAATTAAAGGGAAAAAAAAACCAGACAACCAGCAGAGTTATGCAGACAAAGGAAACCCAAGAATCTCGTGAATGTTTTAAAACACAGTCTTTTCAGATTTTTGGATCTTCTATCTCTGTCTCCATTCTTTCATACTCCAAGTATGGCATATTATTATTACACTTACTCTTTTGTGTCGGTGGCTGCAAGTGACTATACTACCATTAGACTCACCTGTTCTTTTTGACGTTATTTTGTATTCCAAATGATAAATTCAAATTCTAAACTTTGAATGAAACTATAATAAATATGACAAAAAGAAAAAAGCACGTTTGTGAATTGTCCGAAGTCAAAGGGACATAACATAACCCACTTTCATTACTTAAACAACTAATTCCAATTGCCAGTAGAAGAAGGGGTACACTTTCCTATTCCACCTATTGATTCTATAATTTGTATTGTCTTACTGTATAGTAAAATCACGATGGCAGCAAAAAAGCCATGAAAAGAATTCTCTGGTAGGGCAGCAAAATTTTCTCTGTAACGTTAATTAGCTAGAAGCTATCAACGGAGATGATAAATAAACATCACCATGTGATTGATGCAATCTAGCAAAAACCCCTACTAAAGCTGCAGTATTGTAGGTGCAAGCCTCTGTTTGGATGTAATTTGATCTCTCGTCTTTAAATTCGTCATTCATATCGGGCCCACCAACGAGGGCCCCAGTTAGTACATTTGGATTGGGTTCAACGCGTCCATACCAGCTATCATAACCCTGGATGCACCCGATAAAACCCTTGTTTTCCTTTGATGATTCAATGGATGCGCCCCTATGGTGCACCCTCTGGGGGAAATCGGGACCGTACACTACCATGTAACTCATACCCATTGGATTAGAACCTAAGATGTAATCAACCTGTGATTTCGCAAAGGCGAACATCTCGTCTGGGCCCACCTCGCCCTTTTCGCAATGCAGCTTCTGATGTGTGGCTCGGAGGTGATCAGAATACAGTGTGAGAAGAAACGACGCCGTTGCCACGTACTGCATGTTGTTCCATTGGCGGGTGTACAGTAACCCTCCTGGGGTGCGCTCCACGTTACTCACGTTGTTGAGGTTGAGGCACGCGCAGAGATAGTGCTCGGCTTTTGAACGATACTGTTTGAGTACGACTTCGTGCTGCTTGTGTTTCTTTTCTTCCATCGATAACTGTCGTAAGGAAAATGTCGGTAAGCATTTTTCATTATTTCATAATAAAATTAACATAGATGCTTAAATCACTCTCAATCATAAACTGGTTACAAGTGATTGTTAATATTGATAATCACATTACATTATTTTAAAGAGTTAAATAATATATTTAAATTATAGTCTATGGAGAAAATTTTAATTTTTTAAAAAATTTATTTAATTATTTAAAAATAATTTTTACCATGGAATTGGGAAGTGTGTTACCATGGAAGCAATAGCTTGAACACCAGCATATTTAACATCCCAGCTGAATTCATTGATGGCCCAGGTGGTCCCACCAAAGTCATGAGCATTCTCGAGAAAATAGTTTAAATATTGGTCCTTTTGTGTGGCCCTATAAAGCCAAATAGCTGCCCATAGCAACTCGTCCATGTAGCCACTAACCGAAGCATAATACTCTTTAGCCACTCCAACACTCTCATCATACTTCCCCTTGTACTTGTCACCAAACTCAAACAACTACAACCAACAACAAATTCACCATCAAATTCAAATTAATCTAACTAGTCAATGTCAATAAAACAAATACCTGTTCTGCATGATGCAAAAGTAGTTGAGAGTAATGTGGGTTTGTTCTCCTAAACACCATGGATGCCGCCGCCAATGCCGCCGCAGTCTCACCGGCCACATCCGAACCAGGGTTGTCCGCATCCACCTTGAAAGCTCGCCGCGATGTCGTCATGTCCTCCGGCCGCTGCCAACAGTAGTGATCAGTGTGGCCGTCACCCACCTAAACATGTTCATTCATAATTAGGCTACACACATTGCTACAGAAGGATTCAAACATTCTTTTCTAAATGAGTAAAACTTTTGTATGTTATACAAAATGATTTGAGACAATGTGATCTTGACTAATCTTTATTTCACGTGCAAGTCTAATCATACTCTTAATTTAATAAAAAAAAATTAACCATATGAAAATTCACTAAGACTGTAAAATCCATGTTTAACCAACATTAAGCACTTTAACAATCTCGTTAATAATATTATAATTTCTAATAAATTTTAAACAAATGTTATAAAACTCCATGTTCATGGCAGGAAAACAAGGAGAAATCCGTTACTCTTCCGACATTAGGATCGATTCCTCCTGTTAATTTGGAAGAACCATTGAATTCTCAACGGCGGCGCGTGGGATGATTAATTTAAACAAAAATGAAAAATATCTGGAATTGCATGGAGTGAATTGAATTACATACCTCAACCCAAAGAACATTGGGGTGTGTGTGTGCCTTTATGAAATAGTCAGTTCCCCACTTGATGGCCTCGAGCGTGTGAGCGTACTCGCCGGCAGCCGCGATTTGTTGGCCGTACTCTATAGCAGCCCAGGAGAGGAGTGTGACGGTGAATGCCATGGGCAAACCAAATTTCACATTGTCCCCTGCATCATAGTACCCTCCCACCAAGTCCACCTAAAAATCCCCAAAAACAAGAACCACAATGTTGGAACGAGCGAAAAGAAAACCCGAAAAAAGAACATAAAACAAAATACGGTTTGAGGTTTGGATGTCATAGGAAGCAATGGAGCATGTACCCCTTGTTCTAGGCCATCGGTGAGGGCAGAATGGTGACGCCAAGTGACCCTTTGGTTGTAGGGTAAGCGTCCTGAACGCTGTGACTCGAAATAGAGTAGGCTCTGGGACAGGGCGTGGCCATAATTGAAGGACTCACATAAAGGGAGGAAGATTGTAGTGAGAGAGAGTAGTAACCAAATACAAGGTGCCAAATACCGTATGTGAACCTTCTCTTTCTTCATTTCTCCCTCTTTTCAATCTTTCTCTCCTTCCATTGTACCTTTCTTTCTCTTTATATATGGTTTGCTCAGTGTTGGGTTTACAATTTTACCATGTCGTTTTCATAGTTTTTCTGCATTCTCTTTTGTCTCTCCTTTGGTTTGTCAACCATTGTACTCTGAAACGTGGCGCGTGAAAAACATGTTAGAGTTAATTTTTCCGCAATTTAACATTTTGAACTGTAAGGAAATTAATTTTGTCATTCAAATTATTTTCTTTCAACAGCCATAAAACGTTTTCTTTTTTTATTTAATCCAACCTATAATTAAAAATCTTAAACATGAAATTATATGTACACTAAAAATTCCTGTTCAATGATTATTCTTCCCATTCTTCAAACTTTCCCTCTTTTCTTTCACGTGTTTTTATCCGTTTATTATAGTATATATTAATATCACTTGTTGTAACTGTTACTGGTATAAAAAGTTTTAAGAAATAATTAAGATTATTTTATTGTATTTAATTTAACTGCATTTTGTAATGATATAAATTTGGTTCTTTGACTAAAATTAATGAAACGGTATGATTTTAGTTATTTTTAATCAATTTTATAACCTGGTAAAGAGATTCAAGCATGAGTATAAACGTATAAACGTATAGAGTATTATAAAGTTTTTTTTTACTAAAATTATATATTATTGTTGTTTGGGTTCTGTAATTAGAATTAGTATTTCACATTGCTGAAATGCAAGTTTTAAAACAAAAAATTATATTAAACTCTAATTATTAATAAAAATTAATATTTATAGTGCTGTAGATAACTTTTATTCTTGTTTTATATATATAAAAACCATAGTAATGAGTACAGTACCTTTGAGAGCATTTAGGAAACCATGTAATAAAAGAAATCCAAAAGACCAATGATAAATAAAACATTAAAGTGGAAGTGTGTGAAAAGGTAATTAAAAAAATAACATGA